CTGTTATGTTCCTGTTCATTTTTGTGTCATATGAGCACTTCAAAATATTCCCTTTTAGGTTTCATCATCTCAGTTACAAATGAAGTCAGCAAACTCAATACAAAAATATTCAAGCCAATGATTGTTAAAGGGTTCATGCCCAATAGGTCTAGTCAATAATAAGCATTCACCAGCATGACTGGGGAAAGGGACTCCATATATTCAAAGTTGAGCAAACATTGAGTAAATGTTTAAGGTCATGTTCTGCCATGGCATGAACACGTGTAGATCCCACCAAACTAAGAACCTAACAAGCACGGCTCAAAGAGTAGAATTCAAGGACAACTCATTTTCCTTAAACTCAACTGTAATGAGTTGCGCAAAGTTATTTTTGCTAATATTTCAGTATATAGTTGCTACAACAAGTCACACATCCTGATTCTGTTCTTGGTTTAAAACTCATTATGTAAACTAGATCAACCCACATTATTTGACCCTGCCTCCATATTGGTTTGGTTTTTATAGAAAGTGTTGAATCTATGGAACCAGTTAATATCAAACGTATCATAGAAGTTCAAGACTCACTTTGAACTCATTTTAGATTACACATTGGGACCAAAAGTTTCAACATTGACTAGTGATTTTGGATGCCTTGTTTTTCTGAGTACATACCTGATGATACTCTTTAAAGAGCCTAATTAATATTATGTGCTAAGAATCCATTCTCTGAGACCCAGGCCCTCTTCTCTCTCTATGAGGTATTACGTAATTATATTTTGTACATTTGTTTCAAACTTTGGTTAAGGTTATTTCAAATTTTGTTTCTGATACACCAACTAAATGACTTCCAAGTTTTTAATCCTCTATTGCCCTTAGTATAAATCCAGCATGAGTTTATTTTTTAACATCTACTAGCTATCGTGGCAAAATTGCATTATACTGTATATATGGAAATGGAAAGCCTCACTCATTTCAGAGTTGCAAAACTAAAAAGCAATGATTTTCTGAATAGGAAAGATTTGACAACCAACATCTTGAAACTGTTACTGCCTACTTTTATTACATTGTTTTTCAAATCTGTTTAAATACTCATTTAAGAAACAAGTACTCACAGTAATACTTTGTATAGAACCAGTAAAAGTAACATATTAGTCACACAGCTCTTGTCCATTTATTCCTTAAAGACAGCCAGAGTTATAGCATTATTTAGAAGGAAGCAAAATGAGGCCATACAGCTGGTCATCCATCACTGTCTCCAAGGCAAGATGAGAAAAAACTGACAAATTGAGTTCCTAAGGCACAATTTTACCAGACCTATGAGTTTGCTGTAAAACACTATCAGTTCCTATCATATTGTTTTCAAGTGACTGGACATTTACTCTGAAACATCGCACTCCTATTACACACTAGAATGCAGCAGCAAACACAGTGAACAATTTTATACAAGTCAGCCTCCTCCCTCCTACAGCCACTTCTAATTTCAGCTACATTACTGACATAAGTCATCTTACCTCAGTTTCCCTTCTTGGTGTGTGGAAGTGTAACCATGTACACAGTTAATGGATGAGCCTGAGCTCATCAGTTAACCTTATGGTTACACGGAGGTTCCTGGACTCCAAGGCAGTAACTTGGGGGAGGGAGATATGCGCTCGGAGTCAATTTTAAAGCCTCCCGCCTCCTCCCATATAACTGACGAAACATGGTAAATTAAATGCATTTTAACATCCCTAACAACCACCCAGTTCCTATTTCTCGGTTATGTTTGGTAGGGTGCCTCTATCTGGATGTACCCAGCTGGCACCTGTGACGCATCTTAAGTCTTTTAGCAACAGTCCTTGCAGTCTTTTGGTTGACTCATTTTTTCACTCTTCCTTGTAGGATTACTATAATTCAAGTTCCCAAATAGAGGGCACTGACTAGGGGAGGAGGAGCTGTAAGGGGGTATTTGCAATGGGAGGTGCCCATTGCAATTTAGGACATGCTGAAAGGGTGGTGGGGGAGAAGACACACAACACCCTGCTCCATCCGGAGCCCTACTGCTGAGTAGGGATGTAATATCCCAAGTAGTTTGTTAAGTGGCTAACTATAGCTTTAACTGGTTAACCGCCCGCTGAGCCATGGATGGTGGGCCTGACCAGGCAGGTGCAGCACCCCCACCAGTGGTGGGCCCAGCTGGGCTGCTCTGGTCAGGTTGGGTGCCAGTTAACCAGGTAAGCATTAGGGATGTAAAGTTATTACAATTTAAATGATTAACCATAAGCATCAGCTTACTGGATTCCGCTACAGTTATATGCTGGCTCCTGCTCTGAGGGAGCAGTTAGCTATCCCATGCCATTGGCTCTGCAGTACAAAAACTATGCTACAGAATCTGCAGCAAAGCCAGCTCCCAAGAAGTGGGGCTGGCAACCAAGAATGGGCCACTAGCTTCTGGTCCTTCTCCTGGGGAACCAGTTGTGCTGCAGGCTCTGCGGTATAAACCTTATATATAAGCTTTATACAACAGAGACCACCACACATCGTGCCTGGAGGCAGGGCCATCAGCCAGTGTGCTCCAACCTCAGTCCCACTCCATGCTGCTGCCTCTGTATAAGCATGTAGTCGATAGCATTAACCAACAAGCTTTTGCTTATCCATTAATCAACTATACTACACTATTATATCTCTATCACACAGAACTGAGGATGTTAACTAGTGATTGACTAATTGAGTAGTCATTGGAATTTCCATCCACTACTCAACAGGCACTTCCCGCATTCCTCCTTTGAAATGTACAAGAGCCCCAGCAGGGTCTCTTGTGCATATCAAAGCAGTAGCGCAGCATAGAGCCCAGGGTCAGCGCGGGACACTGAGTCCCCTGCTGACCCTGGGCTCCATGCTCTGCTGCTGAATGAAATGCCATGCAGAGCCAGGGTCAACACAGGTTCCATGCCACATTTCCCCACCCCAGGGTCAGAGGACTCCCCAGCTGATCTCAGGTTCTGCAGAAATGCCACGCTGGAGTCCCCAGCTGATCCCTGGCTCCACATTTGCAGCATTGCACAGCTGATCCCGGGATCAGCTGTGCAGCACTGCCCCTTTGAAACACCAAAGTGGTGTTCAAAGGGGCAGGCCCACAGAGCCCGTCTCCGACTCAGCTGTGTGGCAGGAGCCCGAGGTCTGCTGGGGATTCCCCAGCTGATCCTGGGTTCAGCGAAAATGCCACATTGGAACCCAGGATCAGCTGGCATCCCCAGATGACCCTGTGCTCCACACGTGCAGCACCGCACAGTTGATCCCAGGCTCAGCTGTGCAGCACTGACACTTTCAAGTACCCCCTTTCCCCTCACCCTTTTCTGCCTCTATCTGATAGAAGCAGCAAGGCGGGGGGGGGGGGGGGGGGAGAAG